TTGACCTAGTTATCCCACTTCTGGGAATATATCCCAAGAAATAAGAAACATCAATCAGAATGAATGTATGCACCCCTATGTTCATAGCAGCACAATTTGCAATAGCTAAGGTCTGGAAACAGCCCAACTGCCCATCAGCAGATTAATGGATAAAAAAACTGCAGTACATTTACACCATGAAGTACTATGCAGCAGTAAAAAAAAAATCCTTTCCTTTGAGACCAGATGGATAGACCTGGAGAGTATTATGCTAAGATCCTAAAATAAATAAACCAGTCAGATAAATATAAGTATCACATAATCTCACTCATATGTGGAATCTAATGAACAAAACATATCCAGAGACATACTAGTAGAAGCATTGAACACTGTCAAATCTCAGAGGGAACATGGGGTGGGTGGGAAGTGATCAACCAAAGAACTTGTATGCATATATGCATAACCCATGGACACAGACAATAGGTTGGTGAATGCCTGGGGTGGGGGGTGGAGGCTGGCTAGGAGGAGTCAATGAGGGGAAAATGGGGACATATGTAATATTTTCAAAAATAAAGATTTTTTTTTAAATTCATTCCTTTCCAATGTTCTGGAGACCTTGCCTTACAGCTACAGAATTTATTTGTATTCATAGGAGACACTGATTGTGCCCTATTCTGTTGTTATTGTTTCCCTAAGTTTATTGTCAATTTCTGGTATTTGATTTCTTCAGATAACCTTAACCCTAATCCCAACTCTCTTCTCTGAAATCCTCGACCTAACTAACTCATGGTGGGGTACAAGTTAAATGGCTCATTCTATTACCCTTCAGGGACTCAGCCAGTATTGCCTTAACCTTGGGAACTATTTCAAATCTTCATGTTTCTTATGTTAATAAGTTGTAAAAAATCTTTAATGATATTCACTGTGTTGTTGTGGGTTGTGGTGGACACTTTACCTCACTTCCATGACTTTTCTCAGTATTACTTTTTGTTTCCTTATGTTTAAGTAATAAGTATAGTTTAAAAATAATTCTCATCTATATACCTTATTGAATTTTTTACAAGAGTTGTGAAGCAGAAAGGGTAGAGATGATTATCACTATACTTCACATGAGGAAAGAGCTTCAGAATGGTAAAATGTTTTACTGAAGAGCATACACTTAAGAAAGGGCAGAAATAGTACTAAAACCCAAGTCTATTTAATTATTATCAATCATTTACAGTTGCATACTCAAGGTTGCCATTCTTAGAGCTCCTGCACTCCAATATTTTGGCTAATAGGGAGTAGAGAGAAGCAGTTGAATATTTGCCTTGCCTCAGAAATGCTAGATCAAGGTGACTGCAGGTAGCACCTCCACCCCTCTGATAGAAGTAGGAGTAAATTGGAGCTATTTGGCGAATTTTGGTAACTTCAAGAGAGTTAGTATGCCAGCCTGTTTTCTGTGCTTCTCCAAGTATTTTGGAAACATTTTATTACTCATGAGAACAATAGGCCAACTTAAAAAAAAGAATTAATGTATCTCATATAGAACTTCAAAGACATAGGAAATTTCTAGCAAGCGGCCTTAAAGAGAGAGGGCACAATGGCCAAGTGAGTACATATTTTATTAAGACAAATGTTGAAAATATAAAACCTCCATAAGAGAAACAAGTACTGATTTTGGAAATTTATATGTATAGAAACTTTACATATACATATATACATATATTCAATTATGTAGAAATGTATATGTGATGATTATATTCCAAGAAATTTTTGTTGTCGTAAACAGCTAGTCACACCTCAGTAAACTGGAACTCAAATATCTGACAGCCTTAGGTATCCAAACACAGGTGACAGAATCAGGAAGGAAACAAAATAAAGATACTCCTGCATAGTCAAAACAGATGTCATAAATTCCATTAACGAAAACCCATACACTTTGTTCCATGGGAGATTTTCCCTTTTCCATGCACACCATTTCCAAGTAAAATAAAATAAACAGGCTTTTACTCATTTTTGTTCAATTTAAACTCTGTTATAACTAGCTTAATTATTGTATTTTTAAAGCCATAAAATAATAGAAAGTACCAATTAAAATTACAGGGAATTTATTAGAGAGTCCCACTGACAATGACAAGTATGGGCAAATAACCTAAAACTAGAGGACCAGTGTACAAATTCCTGTACCAGTGGGGTCCCTCGCCCTGGCTTATGGGATCAGGTCAAAACCAGCTCTCTGACATCCCCTGAGGGGTCCCGGATTGCAAGAGGGTTCAGGCCAGGCCACGGGACCTCACCAGTGCACGATTGGGGCCGGGGAGGGATGCGAGAGGTTTGCCAGCTGGGGAGGGACCATGGGAGGGCTCCAGGGCATGTACAGCCCATCTCGCTCAGTCCTGATCTGCTGGACCAGAGCAGCAACCTAACCTGCTGGTCAGAGCATCTGCCCCCTAGTGGTCAGTGCACATCATGGTGGGAGGTTGAGTGATCTTAGCATATTATTAGCATACTGGAGGCCCGGTGCACAAAATTCATGCTTGGGGGGACGGAGGTCCCTAAGCCCGACCTGCACCCTCTCCAATCCGGCACCACTGCTTGCCTGATCATCCTAACTGCTCTCTCCTGCTGGTCTGATCCTCCTAATTGCTCTCCCCTGCTGGTCTGATTGCCCCTAACTGCCCTCCCGCCAATCTGAGCCACCAGGGCATTGTCCAGAAGGAGGACCAGTCTCC